GGGTCTGTCTGCTGGGATGTTGTATCCCTCTCAGCCCGGATCTGTCTGCTGGGATGTTGTATCCCTCTCAGCCCGGGTCTGTCTGCTGGGATAAATGTGTAGATGACCTAAATGTTTAGATGACCTAAATGTGTAGATGACCTAAATGTGTAGATGACCTAAATGTTTAGATGACCTAAATGTGTAGATGACCTAAATGTGTAGATGACCTAAATGTTTAGATGACCTAAATGTGTAGATGACCTAAATGTGTAGATGACCTAAAATGTGTTGATGGGGGCGTAAGAACACGGACATTTCTGTTCCCAGATGCTCCGGTCATCGATCGACTTCCTGTGCAGACGGCGGCGGTGGGAGGTGACGCCAAAGTTGCCTGTTGGTTCAACGGATATCCCGATTCTCGTAAGTCTTGGCACAGGGAAGACGTCCGGGGGGGGGGGGGGGGGTTGGTGGGTGCTCCGATGTACTTTTCACCTTCGTTCCTATCAAACGTCTATTGTCCTTTTCTCTTCTATTTTGTCAGTATGTTACTCTCTAGTAACACCTCTGATCTGTGGCTCTTAAATGATCTATTTATTGTGGTGTATGGGCCAGAACATTATTGCCAAAAACAAATCAAATGAAAGAACCTCCCAAATGATGTGGAGAGATGGGAACTATAGAACCAGTGGTCACATGTTCACATGGGTGGAGCTCAAACTTTGGACAGTTTTTATAATTGCGGTTTCTTAATCAGTGGTATGGGTTACATGTACTGGTGACACGTGAGGTTCAGGTTCCAGTTGTGATTGTTGAAACACGCCACACAAGATAGGCCGTGTAGCTACAGGGCTACAGTGGTGTGGCTACAGGGCTACAGTGGTGTAGCTACAGGGCTACAGTGGTGTAGCTACAGGGCTTCCTACAGTGGTGTAGCTACAGGGCTACAGTGGTGTAGCTACAGGGCTACAGTGGTGTGGCTACAGGGCTACAGTGGTGTAGCTACAGGGCTACAGTGGTGTAGCTACAGGGCTTCCTACAGTGGTGTGGCTACAGGGCTACAGTGGTGTAGCTACAGGGCTACAGTGGTGTGGCTACAGGGCTACAGTGGTGTAGCTACAGGGCTTACTACAGTGGTGTGGCTACAGGGCTTCCTACAGTGGTGTAGCTACAGGGCTTCCTACAGTGGTGTAGCTACAGGGCTTCCTACAGTGGTGTGGCTACAGGGCTACAGTGGTGTAGCTACAGGGCTTCCTACAGTGGTGTAGCTACAGGGCTTCCTACAGTAGTGTAGCTACAGGGCTACAGTGGTGTAGCTACAGGGTTACAGTGGTGTGGCTACAGGGCTACAGTGGTGTAGCTACAGGGCTTCCTACAGTGGTGTAGCTACAGGAATTCCTAGAGAGAAACAGGCTTGTTCTCCCTCGTGGAAACTGTTACTTCCTGGCTTGTTCTCCCTCGTGGAAACTGTTACTTCCTGGCTTGTTCTCCCTCGTGGAAACTGTTACTCCCTGGCTCGTTCTCCCTCGTGGAAACTGTTACTCCCTGGCTCGTTCTCCCTCGTGGAAACTGTTACTCCCTGGCTTGTTCTCCCTCGTGGAAACTGTTACTCCCTGGCTCGTTCTCCCTCGTGGAAACTGTTACTCCCTGGCTCGTTCTCCCTCGTGGAAACTGTTACTCCCTGGCTTGTTCTCCCTCGTGGAAACTGTTACTCCCTGGCTTGTTCTCCCTCGTGGAAACTGTTACTCCCTGGCTTGTTCTCCCTCGTGGAAACTGTTACTCCCTGGCTTGTTCTCCCTCGTGGAAACTGTTACTCCCTGGCTTGTTCTCCCTCGTGGAAACTGTTACTCCCTGGCTTGTTCTCCCTCGTGGAAACTGTTACTCCCTGGCTTGTTCTCCCTCGTGGAAACTGTTACTCCCTGGCTCGTTCTCCCTCGTGGAAACTGTTACTTCCTGGCTCGTTCTCCCTCGTGGAAACTGTTACTTCCTGGCTTGTTCTCCCTCGTGGAAACTGTTACTTCCTGGCTCGTTCTCCCTCGTGGAAACTGTTACTTCCTGGCTCGTTCTCCCTCGTGGAAACTGTTACTTCCTGGCTCGTTCTCCCTCGTGGAAACTGTTACTTCCTGGCTCGTTCTCCCTCGTGGAAACTGTTACTTCCTGGGTATCTGTTACATTTGAGTAGGTTGCCCGCCTTGTCTTCCCTTTCTCAATATCCTTAGGGGACATTTGCCCAGTGAGAGTTTGTTAGTGAGAGTTGTGCTAGGTGGTGTGTCCTACCTCTACAGTTTCACGGGACAGTTGGTGAACACATAGAGTTTGTTAGTGAGAGTTGTGCCAGGTGGTGTGTCCGACCTCTACAGTTTCACGGGACAGTTGGTGAACACATAGAGTTTGTTAATGAGAGTTGTGCCAGGTGGTGTGTCCTACCTCTACAGTTTCACGGGACAGTTGGTGAACACATAGAGTTTGTTAGTGAGAGTTGTGCCAGGTGGTGTGTCCTACCTCTACAGTTTCACGGGACAGTTGGTGAACACACAGAGTTTGTTAGTGACAGTTGGTGAACACATAGAGTTTGTTAGTGAGAGTTGGTGAACACACAGAGTTTGCTGTAGAGTGTGGGTGCTGGCTGTATGAGGGCAGTAGTCCTTCCCGTTGATCATTGTGACAAGTGGGGCAGCGGACTACGTCAAAGCGTGTCAATGATAGAACTGTTATTGTTATTGTTAACATTATTATCATTATTGTTATTATTATTATTGTTGTTTGTTATTATTGTTATTATTATAATTGTTGTTATTATTATTATCATTATTATTACATTATGATCAAAATGTAACATTTCAAAAGGAGAAAACTGGGAAGGTCTGTGTGAAAAGGAAGGGATGATTTTTCCAAATTCCTTTTCTGGGTACGGAGTTTCCAAATCTCCCCCCCCCCCCCCCCAAGTGTGGCTGTGCTGTGGTCCCCTCAAGTCTGTGCCCACTTGTTCTCTTCAGCCGCCGAGCGGTGGATGAAAGACGGACAATCTATCCCCGTGGACAGAACCAGATTTAACCCAGCGCGAGACGCGCGCTACCACACGGGGATCACGTCCTATCGCCTCAAGATCTACAACGTGCAGCAGACCGACTACGGCCACTACTCCCTCAACGTTAGCAACTCGTACGGGTCAACTACGTGTCACGCCATGCTCAAAGGTAACACTCTCTCTCCCCCACCTCAAAGGTAACACTCTCACCCCCACCTCGATGGTATGACTCACCCCCACCTCAAAGGTGTGACTCTCACCCCCACCTCAAAGGTAACACTCTCTCACCCCAACCTCAGAGGTATGACTCTCTCACCTCAAAGGTACGACTCTCTCACCTCAAAGGTACGACTCTCTCACCTCAAAGGTATGACTCTCTCACCTCAAAGGTATGACTCTCTCACCTCATAGGTATGACTCTCTCACCTCAAAGGTATGACTCTCTCACCTCAAAGGTACGACTCTCTCACCTCAAAGGTATGACTCTCTCACCTCAAAGGTATGACTCTCTCGCCTCAAAGGTATGACTCTCTCACCTCAAAGGTACGACTCTCTCACCTCAAAGGTACGACTCTTTCACTTCAAAGGTATGACTTCACACCTCAAAGGTATGACTCTCTCACCTCAAAGGTATGACTCTTTCACCTCAAAGGTATGACTCTCTCACCCATACCTACCTGTTTTACTGCAGGGGATGGAAAGTGTGAGGGTGGGTGATTGGAGGGTGCTCTGCTATGGTTTGCTTCTTCTTTCCCATCAAACATCTGTCGTCCTTATCTCTCCTCCTTCTCTCCTATCAAACATCTATCGTCCTTATCTCTCCTCCTTCTTTCCTATCAAACATCTATCGTCCTTGTCTCTCCTCATTCTTTCCTATCCAACATCTATCGTCCTTGTCTCTCCTCATTCTCTCCTATCAAACATCTATCGTCCTTATATCTCCTTCTTCTTTCCTATCAAACATCTATCGTCCTTATCTCTCCTCCTTCTTTCCTATCAAACATCTATCGTCGTCCTTTCTCCTCCTTCTTTCCCATCAAACATCTATCGTCCTTGTCTCTCCTCCTTCTTTCCTATCAAACATCTATCGTCGTCCTTCTCTCCTCCTTCTTTCCTATCAAACATCTATCGTCCTTATCTCTCCTCCTTCTTTCCTATCAAACATCTATCGTCCTTGTCTCTCCTCATTCTTTCCTATCCAACATCTATCGTCCTTGTCTCTCCTCATTCTCTCCTATCAAACATCTATCGTCCTTATATCTCCTTCTTCTTTCCTATCAAACATCTATCGTCCTTATCTCTCCTCCTTCTTTCCTATCAAACATCTATCGTCGTCCTTTCTCCTCCTTCTTTCCCATCAAACATCTATCGTCCTTGTCTCTCCTCCTTCTTTCCTATCAAACATCTATCGTCGTCCTTCTCTCCTCCTTCTTTCCTATCAAACATCTATCGTCCTTATCTCTCCTCCTTCTTTCCTATCAAACATCTATCATTCTTCTCTCTACTCCTGTTTTCTTCAGCTCTTGTATGACCTGTTTGTGTTACAAATGCTGTAAAACTGTGAGTCAACATTGCCTGAACCATGTGACCGTTGATCCCCCACAGACCCTGCGGAGATCATTGACCTGAAGCCAGCCCCCAAACAGGCGGATCCCGAGAGTACGTGTGGAACTTACATTTTCTTACTGCCTGACTAGAGAACTGACATGTCATATGTGTGACTAGAGAACTGACATGTCATATGTGTGACTAGAGAACTTACATGTCATATGTGTGACTAGAGAACTGACATGTCATATGTGTGACTAGAGAACTGACATGTCATATGTGTGACTAGAGAACTGACATGTCATATGTGTGACTAGAGAACTTACATGTCATATGTGTGACTAGAGAACTGACATGTCATATGTGTGACTAGAGAACTGACATATCATATGTGTGACTAGAGAACTGACATGTCATATGTGTGACTAGAGAACTGACATGTCATATGTGTGACTAGAAATGTCACATGTGTGACTAGAGATGTCATATGTGTGACTAGAGAACTGACATGTCATATGTGTGACTAGAGAACTGACATGTCATATGTGTGACTAGAGAACTGACATGTCATATGTGTGACTAGAGAACTGACATGTCATATGTGTGACTAGAGAACTGACATGTCATATGTGTGACTAGAGAACTGACGTGTCATATGTGTGACTAGAGATGTCATATGTGTGACTAGAGAACTGACATGTCATATGTGTGACTAGAGAACTGACGTGTCATATGTGTGACTAGAGAACTGACATGGCATATGTGTGACTAAAGAACTGACATGTCATATGTGTGACTAGAGAACTGACATGTCATATGTGTGACTAGAGAACTGACATGTCATATGTGTGACTAGAGAACTGACATGTCATATGTGTGACTAGAGAACTGACATGTCATATATGTGACTAGAGAACTGACATGTCATATGTGTGACTAGAGAACTGACATGTCATATGTGTGACTAGAGATGTCATATGTGTGACTAGAGAATTCATATGTGTGACTAGAGAACTGACATGTCATATGTGTGACTAGAGAACTGACATATCATATGTGTGACTAGAGAAGTGACATGTCATATGTGTGACTAGAGATGTCATATGTGTGACTAGAGAACTGACATGTCATATGTGTGACTAGAGAACTGACATGTCATATGTGTGACTAGAGAACTGACATGTCATATGTGTGACTAGAGAACTGACATGTCATATGTGTGACTAGAGAACTGATATGTCATATGTGTGACTAGAGATGTCATATGTGTGACTAGAGAACTGACATGTCATATGTTTGACTAGAGAACTGACGTGTCATATGTGTGACTAGAGAACTGACGTGTCATATGTGTGACTAGAGAACTGACATGTCATATGTGTGACTAGAGAACTGATATGTCATATGTGTGACTAGAGATGTCATATGTGTGACTAGAGAACTGACATGTCATATGTTTGACTAGAGAACTGACGTGTCATATGTGTGACTAGAGAACTGACGTGTCATATGTGTGACTAGAGAACTGACATGTCATATGTGTGACTAGAGAACTGACTTGTCATATGTGTGACTAGAGAACTGATATGTCCATTTTTGTGACTAGAGAAATTGTGTTTCTTTTATTATGACTGGACAATTGACATTTCCATCTTTGTAACGAAAGAACGAAAGAATTGACATTTCCATCTTTGTAACGAAAGAATTGACATTTCCATCTTTGTAACGAAAGAATTGACATTTCCATCCTTATGACTAAAGAATTGACATTTCCATCTTTGTGACTAGAGAACTGACATGTCATATGTGTGACTAGAGAACTGACATGTCATATGTGTGACTAGAGAACTGACATGTCCATTTTTGTACCGATAGAATTGACATTTCCATCTTGGTAACGAAAGAATTAACATTTCCATCTTGGTAACGAAAGAATCAACATTTCCATCTTTGTATCGAAAGAATTGACATTTCCATCTTTGTAACGAAAGAATTGACATTTCCTTCTTTGTGACTAGAGAATTGACGTTTCCTTCTTTGTAACCAAAGAATAGACATTTCTTTCAATGTAACGAAAAAATTGGCGATTTCTTCAGTCTAACAAAAGTAAAGACATTTCCATATAAGAGCAAAAAAATTGATTCTGGCACACCCGCGACGAAAGGATAGAGAACAATCGTGAGCGACATAAAGAGA